AAATTTTTGGCTGGACATACTAGCTCGGGAACCACCTATTAAATTCGGCCTTGTAACACATCTGACTGCGTAGGACTGTTGATAGATACTGTCTGCAGTTGTAGATTCCGGGTGCAATTCACTTGATTCACTTCTAGCAGTTGACTACTACTTCTACGCGCCGCTGGCGAATCTTGTATGCGCTGTTCGTTCCCTAAGTATTATCATTCATTGCCAACCTTCGTGTGATTATTCTATTCAGTATCCTTCCCTATGTTACAACACTATCCCTTCTATCTTTTCTGTAAACAAATTACACAAGCTCGTTCGGTATGTGATTCGCTGTTTTCATCTGTATCTCTAACATTCAAGATGTCCTGTGAGTGTAAAATTCTCCAAGCCCTTTCCTCATTATGTGCGCTAGATATATCTATTGTTTCTTTCTCATTTTAGTTAGTTTCATTTTTGTTTCCATTTTCTCTAAAACTTTATTGTTACCCACTGTAATGGACTGGTCCCTCTTATATAAGTCAGCTCTGGGGAGAGAGTCAGCGTTAGCAGCCCAGATACTTTCTGAGCGACTGATCGGTTCAACTCTCTTCCTACGGGCGAGAGGAACCCGAAGGAGGCTACGCCGAAGGGCGGAGTCTCCTTCGGGGAGGTTAAACCGGCCCTGAACCCGTTTATATGGGTTCAAATGGGCTATTTTTTGGCCGATCCTAATGGCTCAGGAATGCCCACATTAAAAAGGCCTTGTGCCACATGACGCCCTCGTGGGGGTGGCTAAATATCTTAGCAGCCCAGATACTTTCTGAGCGACTGATCGGTTCAACTCTCTTCCTACGGGCGAGAGGAACCCGAAGGAGGCTACGCCGAAGGGCGGAGTCTCCTTCAGGGAGGTTAAATTCGGCCCTGAACCCGTTTATACGGGTTCAAATGGGCTATTTTTGGCCGAGACTAATGGCTCAGGAATGCCCACACAAAAGGCCTTGTGCCGCATGACGCCCTCGTGGGGGGGCTAAATATCTTAGCAGTCAGATACTTTCTGAGCGACGGAGAGAACCCGAAGGAGGCTACGCCGAAGTAGTAGTCCAGATAAGCTTACCCGGTACATACCGTTGGACTATAGACTTTGGATATTGTTTCGTACTAACCAACCTTCGTTCTACTAATCACTCTATTGTTAATTGCTTTTATGAATATACCAGTATTTTCCTCTACAACTGTGTTTGTCTTGATTCATACACCGACACGCGGGAAACTCACAACATCTCAACACCCACGTATTCCGTTTTTTCTGTAGAAACACATTTCTATTTTTCTAAGTTGAGGAGATTGCCCAGCATTCACTGCCGTATAGGAGGACATATACCATATAACAGTTGAATATTCTTTTCTTTGTTTCGAACGAACATTTTCTGTTTCCTAATAGTTTATTTAACTTCTGGGCGGTATGTTTTTGCTATTGCAATGCGCTTTCGGATATCGATATCGCATTTTCTGCAAACAATCCATAGATATTTAAATTTTCCTGCTTGCATGATTTTGATGTATACAATTCGTAGCAATTATCTTGATCTGTTCTTTTTTCTTACAAATATGCATGTCGTATTATTACTGTTGATGTATTGTCCTTTCTTCTCTCTTTCTATCACTACCTTTGGTATTTCTTCTAATAGGTTCTTTTTCATGTCTGCTCTCAATGTGCCATCTGTATATCTTAATTACTTAAGATTAAAGCCTCCAATAATGAATCCTGGTAGAACTTCTAATTCTCTCAGAATCGCCTTACTCTAAACAGTAAATACGTTGAGAAAACACGTTCTTGTCTTACGCCCTTAGCCATATTTGTGTAATTAGTGAATTGATTTTCTGTTTGTCTTCAAGCGATTTGCTCCAAGTATAAGTTATGGCTTATTCTAATGTACAAATACTGTATCTTTCTATATATCTGAGGATGTATTATGTACATAATTTACATTATTCGGACTATTTTCCTCATCTGTCGCCATATTTATTACAACGTTTCGGCCGTTGTACGCTCCGGCATTCTTCAGGTGGTTGGAATGTCGAACTGAACCCTTTATTTCGCTCACTGAGGTAGACTGTTCTAGTTGCACGTGACATGTTTAATGAATGTCAGTTATCAGTTATCTCCTGTTAATTTTCCCTCTCCAAGTAATCCACTGCCTTAACCGGGTATTGAAGTCAGACTCTTTGGGTCCTGTCACTGGATCTAACTAACGCCTTTATCCACCGTGCCATGTGTCCTTGAGGGCATCTGTGTGTGAATTTCTGGGTATTATAAATCTAATGTCTCATCAAACATTTTTAGCAGTTCTCATATTGCAATTTTTTGCTGTTATCATTGCTTTTTTTTTGCCAGAGCTCATATTGAATTAAAGGGTTCCGTTCGACATTCCAACCACCTGACATGAAGAAGGCAGGTGCGTACAACGGCCAAAACGTTGTAATAAATATGGCGACAAAGATGAGGACAATAGTCTGAATAATGTAAATAATATACAAATACTATATTTCCCAAATAAATTAAGCTTAGCTAGCAGTTCGAGCGAGCTAAAATTACAGCAGAATTTAGATTAATGAAAATAGCAGGCATAATTACCGCAGTAACTCACTTTCATGAGAAAAAAAAATCAGAAAATATTTTAGGAAAGAAAGCTTCCATTACAGCAGACGATAAACCAAGGCATAGTTTTACTATGATTGGAAATACAATTCAGTTACAATTTTCTGCTGGATAATATTCGCAATGTTTTAAGACATATTCAGATATGATGGATCAGCTAATACCCAAGATAATTATTTACGCAGTCTGAGAGGAATTCTGTTTGAATATAATGCATTATTATGCCATCTGGCGCGTTGGATTTAACAATGTGAGGAAGAATTATAGACGCCTCTATTTTATAGCTGACTATAACTTTCGCTTGTAAAATTCAGGGAAATTCTTAGACGTTTTAGTGCACACAATATGCTGTCCTATAATGCATATGATAAAAAAAAAAATCTTTCTTTTGGCGGTTGTATTAGGGGACGGAACAAAGCGAAAGAGAAATACAAGGTAAACATGAGTCGAGTGCTGTTTCTCGATTTGAACGATATTCTTACTTTGTCTTCTGGCTTGCTTTGATTGTTTATTTGCTAATGCAAATTAATTCCGTTGCGTTCGCGTCCATCAATCTAAGATGTCCTACATTTTAATGACGAACTTATTAATAGAATCCATTTAACTGACGTTTGAGCCGAGGCAAATTGTTATAAGTTACTATTTTAAATTATAAAAAAAATACATGCAGAAACACAAACACGTGTCTTCTTAAACAGAAAATGAAATGTTCTCAAAGAAACAAAATAACTGCTATAAAAAAAAACAAATATGATTTACCGGGTAAAAATAATCTCTTTGTCAGACATATTATTGTATAAAAAACTAAGCCCTATTAAACAGGCACTTATCGACAATAACTATTGAATAAAATATCGAATTAATATCGCAAGGTGTCAACCTGGTATAAACAGAAATAAACACGGTATTAATTTATTTCATCGTAACGAAAGTCACTCTAATTCTAAAAATAGAATTAAAATTACCAAAATATATAAATAAATAAATAAATTAAAATAAAATAAAGAATCCGGCGCTATTAATGATCTCAAGAGACATCTTAGATTTACCATTTAAGATGTTTAAAAAATTATTACTAACAAAAAGAGGACTGAAAAATCCCACTGATATAAAAAGAAAAAATAATGTTGTTTATGAATTCGCATGGTTTCTGGGAGATTGCATCTCCAAAACTAACAATGAAAAAAAAATGTATTAAATTCTTACATCGGCCACAAGTGCTCCACACACTCTCATCGGTTTACTGGAGAATTCAGTGCACATATCGACCAGCACATCACAAACCTTTAAAATACATTTATCAACCTGAGACAAATACTAGTGGATAATATCAAAATACTACACAGCAGCCAATGTAGAAAATGACTTTAAAAAATCAGAGAAACTCTTCTCATACAAAATAGTCAAAAGCATTAAATAAGACAGATTTCGCGACAGGAGACGATATATTAAAATATGTATAAAAAATTTAATATGTGTCTAATACAACGCATAATACTGATGCTTTATTTTTTATGTGGCCTCGCTCTGTTTAACCCTTTTCCTCATGACATCACCGTGAACTATTTTAAAATTTCAATTTTTTAAAGAATACCAAGGTGTAGACAATGAAGTATTGTATATCGCAAGGACAACGCGTGGCTCTTAAAAATGGCTGCTACAATAAAGGTACTTGAATAAGAACAATAGAACAAACATGAACTTCGGACAGTTTATCCACAATTTCGATCGCAATATACTAAATCATTATTCGAAAATTGAAGAAATACAATAAAAAAATTAAACAGACAGCTCTTATCGGTCGTATATAATCAAACTTTTTGTATATATATATATATATTTTTCTTACTAATCTTTGCCACTTATTTCTCTCTTGTTATGCTAAAATTGCACAAAGTTCTTTCATAAATTGTAAACGCAAATGAAAATTGTTTGAATTTAAATATTTGTATATTAAAATTCCGTATTGTCTTCTTAAGTAGGTGTAAGTGGTTCTCGTATTATTGAAATAATTATTGTCTTACAGCGTTTTGAAATCCATTGTCTACAAAGTGTTGTCACTTTTAAATCATCTTTGTAAGTCTTACTGTTATTTTATATGTGTTACTATAATGGCATAGTTGTTGTAACACCTTGTTAAGATTGTTTTCGCTTTACAGTTTTTATTCCAATTACGATGATTATCATAAATTACTTTCGTCAAAATAGCTAAGACCAACAGTTAAAGAATTTTTTTTTTAATTCTTGGATAGAGCCTTTTTCAGAATATTTTTCACACTCTCGCTTCTAAAACTATAAAAGATATATTTTCGTATTTCAAACAGCACGGTAGAATGAATGTTTCTAATTTCAAATATCTCATCTATTTGTGCTTGCGGCCAGATCACGTTGAAACACCTGTTCTCGCCAGATCACCGAATTTAAGCAATATTGAGCCTGGTCAGTATCAAGGTGGGTGACCACTTAGGAACACCAGCTGCTGTAAACTTCAATGTGAGACGTATAATGAACGCCAGCTTGGATTGAACCGAGTTCTAATTGCAGTTAGCTTTATTACAATCATTTACGCGCAAATATCCCTGGGCGCATATGTATTGAAAAAAAAAAAAGGTCTGATATCACATGGGCGTCATATCCGACCCGATCAACACGCACTGACCCAACTCGGTAAAGTAATGGCCCATTCCCCTCCATGAATCTCCGGCTCCACCGACTGAGAAGGAAAATCTATTTAGGAATCTCTGGATGGTTTGATTTTTAGCGAGATAGTCGGATTGAAGATAATAAGAGAATTAATAATATTTATGGTCTTGTGTTAAATTATGCCAGGATTAGCAAACAGCAATGACTTATTCGGTACCCCGTATTTATATAAGTTATTTTAAATTAAACTTTCACAATTCATGGTGTTTAATCTGTAATTTTTGCTGTTGACAAATAGACTGCACTATGATGCAGAGTGAGTTCATCGAATACATCTTGATTCCAATCCGTTTTCACTGACGATATTCAGTCACCCCCCCACGAGGGTGTCATGTGGCAGAAGGCCTTTTTAACGTGGGCATTCCGAGCCCGTGGGCTCGGCCAAAAATATGCCCATTGAACCAGTATAAACGGGTTCAGGGCCGGTTTTACCTCCCCGAAAGAGACTCCGCCATTCGGCGTAGCCTCCTTCGGGTTCCTCCCGTCCGTAGGAAGAGAGTACAACCGAACAGTCGGTTCAGAGTTGAACGACTGACTCAATCCGCTTTCACTGACAATATTCAGTCACCCCCACCCACGAGGGTGTCATGTGGCACAAGGCCTTTTTAACGTGGGCATTTCCGAGCCATTAGGCTCGGCCAAAAAATAGCCCATTGAAACCGTATAAACGGGTCCAGGGCCGGTTTAACCTCCCCGAACGAGATTCCGCCTCCCTCGGGTACCTCCAGTCCGTAGGAAGAGAGTTGAACGACTGACTCAATCCGTTTTCACTGACGATATTCAGTCCCCCCCACCACGAGGGTGTCATGTGACACATGGCCTTTTTAACGTGGGCATTCCCGAGCCATTAGGCTCGGCCAAAAAATAGCCCATTTGAACCCGTATAAACGGGTTCAGGGCCGGTTTTACCTCCCCGAAGGAGACTCCGCCCTTCGGCGTAGCCTCCTTCGGGTTCCTCCCGCCCGTAGGAAGAGAGTTTAACCGAACAGTCAGTTCAAAAGTGAGCGACTGCACATCTCCACATTTATAGATATATCCTACAGATGCATGATGGGATTTCTTCCTAATGAATAAAAATGGATCACTTCTCGCTTATGCCCTCGGTAATTTTATGTCCAGGTTAGCGATACGGGTGACATTTTTTTCTGGATAAATTGGAATTAAATCCCTTTGAGGCGGCGGGGGATTATTTACTGAATATTTGAGATTTTTATCTCATGAGTCGATTCTTTCATGACCTGGTTTAACTTATGTAAATCTGGAAGGGGCATTATTACTTGTGGTTTTGATCTCAGCCTTTGGTTTTTAATTGCCTTTACGGTATTTTCACTATTATTCTCTTCAATCATCCCTTGAGTCATTTCGAATTTTCTTAATGCAAATTTAAATTCACTGGACGTTACTATTTCATCTTTCTGAGTAACAACAGCTGTAAACAGTTTAAAAGGGCCATAGCTATTAGCAAGCTATCGCCTATCACTTATCCCTGATGTTTTTAATAATGCTGCTGGATTTTCTGCTCTAATAACATAATCTGTACTAGATTCGTCACTTGCTTTTCTTAGGGAGGTTAATTCAGTATAGAGGGTATTTATTCTCGGTTTTCCATTTTATAGGTAGTGTTCTCTCAAAATTTGCAGTGCTTTTCTGCCATTGACGGGATTTTCTCTCATAATAAGCGACAGACTTTGATCAAGATATCCAGTTACCTCGGAAATGCGTTTACATTATTTTCACAAGACTCTTCGTCATTGGGAATATCTATAGACGTCTTATCAACCCAGATATCCTCAGATCCACTTTACATATAATTAAAATGCGTGCGTTTACTGGCCTTATTATTTAGCTTGAACAGAGTGATGACCTTAACAGAAGATATATCAAGAGTTGTTTTCGTTGGTGGATTGTATTATATCAAAATCAGATTAATGGAGAGCATTGTATTTAAAAAATAATTAAAACATGCTTATAGTAGCTGCTAAATAAAAGAAGAAATGACTAACTGCTCAGAGGGAACACATATTTTTATCGGTTTTGTTAGGTAGCATTTGAACACATACTTTCATGTCACACCTTATTAAAATTTACATGATATTCTGAAAGTTATTATTTGAAATTGTTTTCCTATACGATTTGTGTATTGAGTTTGAATTTGAAATATTTTTGCATTAAAAGTGAAGATGAAAGAAATAAGAGATAGTCCTTTATTTCAGGAAATGGCATACTGATCATATATGATTCACTTGGTTTACAAATGTAATGTTTCATATGGAGGACCGAGAATATTTCAGCATGTTTACTGTCGATGATGATGGTAAATCATATATATATATATATATATATATATATATATATATATATATATATATATATTAATTTATAAATTCATGAATAATTCATACAAAAAAACAAATATAGAGGTTAATGATTTAAATGGCGTGAATACATCGTCGCAAACACAAAAAATAAGATACACCAACCCCGAACCTGTATATATGAATGATATGATCCCTGTTTATAAATTCCAGTCGCATAAGGTCTTTTTAATTTTTTTACAAGCTTTCGTCTGTTCTTACAGACATCATCAGGTATGGAAGTAGATTTTGTTCTTGTTTTACTTCTCAGTAATAAGAGGACAACGAAAATAGAGATGCAATCCGAAAAATACTATGAAAATGTGTTATTGTTTTTTGAACGTGCGGTCGCAACGCTGAGTTTGAATTTAAATTTTTAAGGTTGTGCGTTTTGTACAAATATAGCAATAAGAGAATTTGCACCTTTTAATTGAAATATATATATATATATATATATATATATATATATATATATATATATATATTTTACCGGAAAAGGTACCTATTCTATTGTAAATAGACTGTCCCACAGATGAGTAGTAGTAGTAGTAGTAGTAGTAGCAGTCACAAGGGAAGCTGAGTGAGTTGTGTGTCAGTCGATGTCGGACATTAAAGTATGAGCCCCACAATTAGATTGCTGCGTCATTAACTATTATTGCAAGATCCTAACGTTTTGTGCGTCGAACCTAATTTAGAACCGACTTAGTGAAATACAAGTCTCCACTGTGAAAACTACCCTACAACAATATATATATATGTCTATCTACTTCAGTCTGTTTACACACACACACACACATATATATATACATATATATATATATATATAATCAGTTCTTTCAGATATGTAAAAGTGCGTTCAACTCACATTTAAAATTCACCTCTCTCTCTCTCTATATATATATATATATATATATATATATATGTGTGTGTGTGTGTGTGTGTGTGTGTGTGTGTGTGTGTGTGTGTGTGTGCTAATAAAAGCTAAATAAATATCATTGTTGCATTTAAAGCTGGTATTGAAACATTAAATATTCACCTGCAGCATTCCAGCAAACCCCAGTGTATACGCGAATGTCGTAATTAGAGAAGTCGATCTAGGATAATAATCATGTTGTGTTAATAGGGATTCTATTTTAATGCTGTTATTATCAAGAAAGTATGTCAGATGACATTGACTGTTACAGACATAAGGATTTACTGTTACAGACATAAGGATTTTCAGCATGAATAGGACTCGTAAATAGAAATATAAATGACATCTGAAAGAGCCATTTAAATGTGCAAATATACAGTAAATTGTCATTTATGAGGAAAAATTCTAATAAGCAAGAAAGGTAGCCCAGTCTTTTCATATCTATCTATCTATCTATCTATCTATCTATCTATCTATCTATCTATCTATCTATCTACTTACTTGCCTACATAGAAATCACATGCGAGATGTCTTTACATAGGAAATTACGTAGATAGCTCTGTAACTGTTATTCTCATTCTGTTCATATATATGTAAATACCTATGTCTTATTCATATATAACTCATAGTACGTTTGCATACATGCAATACACACCCGCATATGAAAGCGCCATTTAAATGTGCAAATATACAGTAGATTGTCATTTATACGGAAAAATTCTAATATGCAAGAAAGGTAATCCAGTCATTTCCTATCTATCTATCTATCTATCTATCTATCTATCTATCTATTTCAGTCTGTCCGTATCTATCTATCTACGGGCTCAGAGATACCCACATTAAAAAGGCCTTGTGCCACATTCGATCCCCGTGGGTGGATTGATAAATACCATCTATCTATCTATCTATCTATCTATCTATCTATTTCAGTCTGTCCGTCTCCGTATCTATCTATCTATCTATCTATCTATCTATCTATCTATCTATCTATTTCAGTCTGTCCATATCTATCTCTCTACGGGCTCAGAGATACCCACATTAAAAAGGCCTTGTGCCACATTCGATCCCCGTGGGTGGATTGATAAATACCATCTATCTATCTATCTATCTATCTATCTATCTATCTATCTATCTCAGTCTGTCCGTATCTATCTATCTATCTATCTATCTATCTATTTATTTCAGTCTGTCCGTACTATCTATCTATCTATTTCAGTCTGTCCGTATCTATCTCTCTACGGGCTCAGAGATACCCACATTAAAAAGGCCTTGTGCCACATTCGATCCCCGTGGGTGGATTGATAAATACCATCTATCTATCTATCTATCTATCTATCTATCTATCTATCTATCTGTCAGTCTGTCTTTCTGTCAATCATTCGATTTCTATCTATCGATGTCAATCGGTTTCTTTCTTTCTATCTATCTATCTATCTATCTATCTATCTACTTACTTACCTACATAGAAAACACATGCGAGATGTATTTACATAGCAAACTTACGGAGATAGCTGTGTAACTGTCATTCTCATTCTGTTCATATATATGTCAATACCTATGTCATATTTATATATAACTCATAGTACGTTTGCATACATACAACATACACACCCGCATCGTCGGTTCTAAAAGCTTCAAAAGCTTGCGCCAACCCGTGGTAGTATCACTCCCCGCAAAAAGTCACCTTCCGGAACTTCTGTTGAGATTCGAACCCGGGTTTCATGGTCAGAAATCGAACGTTCTAACCAATCAATTGTGATCAACTATAGAGCAGAATGCTGCAGAATGATAGTATGAGAAACAAATCAGAATCGTTTATAAATTACATATATTTCGCCTTTTTTAAGCTTCACCAGAGAATGCAATATGCAGGAATATAGAATATTGTTGTATTTTTTATTTATGTCTTGTATATTTTTTCATTAGCTAAGGAGAGCTTACGTGAATTTTGTCCTGTCAGGCCGCGTCTGGTTTTATAATGTATATGTTGCTTTTTGTATCAAAATTTACTTCGCACAAAATAAAATTCTATAAACAAAAATTCGGTTTACCGTTGTGGTCCACAATAAGCAGTTTTCTTGTTTGTCTGTTGCGAGAATGCTTAGAATCTGATATATCTAAAATCATCATACCTAAAATCACCACTTAGCTCAGATACATAAATGACGTCCTACTATGTTATATACCGTACCTATGAACACTAATGGTTACGTCTCAATCCTCATAAATACGTTGGACACTATTGTAAGTCGGGGCCTAAGTAGTTCATCCCTAGCAGTGGTTTACCTACTTCACGCCGCTGGCGAGTATCGTATTTTGTTGATGTCATAAAGATTACCATTTCATTTACAACCTCCGTTTTGGTTATTCCTCATTCAGTAATTATTCCTATGTTTCAACATACTATATATTCACAATGGAAATCTGCTAATCCTTATAAAGATACTTTATAACAAAAGCAATCTTCGAATTCACACATGAGCATGAAATAGACAAAACTATCTTTCCTCAACGTTTTATATACAGACGCTCTATCCCTGATATTAATCACATTTACTCATAAATATATCATATATTAAAACTATTTCTCTTACTAAAACCCCTTCCACTCACCTCTCCTAAAATTCTCTCTGTTAAGGTTTAATCTCCCTCTTTCTCTAGTCTGTTACCCCTCATACTTACACTCTCTCTAAATTCCGTTTTTATTTCCGGAGTTGTTTTTTTTTCAGTTTTCTCTTTGAATTTGTAGGTCTGATGAATTGGATCGTATTTACGATTCCAATGGAATAAATTATGACCATGGAATATTAGTGTTTAAGCCTTTTTATTATATCCTTACTCTGTCCTGGACATTGAGTTCTACCTGGCTTCTTCCTCTTGGAATTTTTTTTCTAAAAATATACATGTATGGGTATTTATATATTTTGCATACGTATGTATATTTACCACTAATATTATCTATCTATCTATCTATCTATCTATCTATCTATATATACATGAATTATTCACACAAAACTAATGCAAAGGTTAATGATTTAAATGGCGAGACATCCATCATCGCAAACAATTCAAATAGTATACAAAAACCTCCAGATCCGTTATGAATGAATTGATCCTTGTTTATATAAATTTCTGCCGTATTAGTTGTTATTTATATATATTAAAAAAGTGAGAAACCGCAAACGTTTTTGGTTATAATGTGGATTTGCTTCAGTGTATATATTATATTTTATTCTTCATATTTTTGCATAATTATATTGTTATTTTTACGGATGGTCTCTAAGGCTTGTCTTTGTTTTTTATGTACGGTTGTTGAATAGTTCGGAATTTTTTTGTATGTCGAGGTTCCAGATTTTTTCAAAAAATAGGTTTAGCCCATTTGGATTATTATTTTTGTTTGGGGATAAATTGGATTTATTTTTTACTAATGATTTATCTGCAATGTTTTCATTATTATTAAATGTTTCTTTTTGTCTGAGTTCTCTAAGGTCCAAATTGTCTAAGGTCTTTGTTTTTAGGTCTGTTATATTGATTTTAGGCACCGGGAAGAAATTTACGCCCAACTTTAATAGGTTGATTTCGTCCTTTGTAAGTGTATAGGAATATAAGTTTAATATTTTGGGTTTTGTGTCATCTAAAATGGTCTTCTTGTCTTGAACGTATAAAATATTTCTCAGTACGTAGTAATTAATGGAAAGTTGGTCTGAAATAATCATTGTATAATGTTTAGCTTATATGATCATTATTAATCACTTAAATTCATTGATAATGAAGAGTGGTGTATTCTGTTTCATTAATAGACTATGAACTTACTTATACGTTCATACATACATAAATACATATAACAATATATCTATATTCAGTACAACATATGTGAAACCTGTTAAGTCACTATTTAGAGATAAATATACTTATGGTCATATCACGTGGAAACACCTGTTCTCGCATGGCCATCGAATTTATGTAACGTTGAGCCGGGCCAGTACTATAGATAGGCGACCACTGGGGAATATCAGCTGCTATAAGCTACGCGACAAGCCGATAGATCCGGTTTGAGTGATTTGTTTTCTACACTTTTGCTTATCAACATTTTCTGGTAATTTAAAGCCAGAAAATATTTTAAGATTGTAAGATATAATTCTTCTGCTAGAAGTGAGTCAAATCAAGTGACATCCACAATGAATCTCTAAGTCTAAGATATCTACCAACCGCCCCACGCGGTAAGATGTGGCACAAGGTCGAATTTAATGTAGGGTATCCGAGTCCGTAGACACGGCTAAAAAATCCCCGTAGACTCCGTATAAAACGAGACGAGATTCTGCCCTTCGACGATTGACGATTCAAGCCGAGCTTCTCGACTTGACGGTCGAACTCTCTGCCTCTGAGCAGAAAGGAACCCGGACGAGGTTCCGCCGAAGGGCAGAATCTCGTTCGGGGAAAAATGACCAACCCGATCTCGTTTATACGGGTTATACGGGCAGTTTGAAAAAAGCCTACGGGCTCGGGAAACCCACGATAAACTCGGCCTTGTGCCACGTGCAACCCTCGTGGGAGGTGGCTAGATACCGATTCTGTCCTTCGACATAACCTCGTCTGGGGATCATCTCTGCCCGGAGACAGAGGGATTGACCAGAACAGCTGTAGCCGAATCTCCAAATCTAGACACGTACAGTATACACTATTTATAAGAATGAAGACATACCCAATATCGTCCTTAGCTATGCTACAACAAGCCGTTATAAGTATAACCAGTAATAATGAAGTTTTCATTCATAACCTATTATTTGGAGCAGTGTGGAACGTTAACCTCTTGATAATGTAATTATTTTAACTTCGATGTTACATGCGATATCCATTTAATCGCTTGCTGTTTTTGAAATACTCAGATGTTTTGATTTCTCTTATTTAGTACAGTTCTTTGTTTGGGAATCTGTAGCGCCATTCAGAACGGCCGAATACGGATAATCCTCGTTTTGAATCACAGGTTTCATCGGTGAACACAATTTTGAACCCTTGATCTGAGACAGCAGTTGTATAAAGCTAACAGTTTAGATATTTCTCTACGATTTTGATGCCACGCATGACATCCATATGAAATTCTACATCTGACGAGGCTGTTTAAGACCATGAATCGAGTTTAAGTTTAATATTTTGGCTTTGTAGCAGTTTTAGCAGACACGGAAAAGAAACTATAAAATGTCCTACAGAAGGTAGCGACGGAGAATGTGAGGAAAGAACTAAGCATAAAATACAAGAAAGCAGAAGACATGGTCATCAGTAAGAGGATGAAACCAAAATGCGATTTTCAGGTCGGAAACACTAAAATGAAGCAGATTAAGTATCTGGAAAGCGTCTTGTCAGAAGACGGTAAATGTGACACTGACATCTGTAGACATATTGGGATGGCCAAGGACACATTCCAAAAGCTATGAAGAGTATTGAGAGACTGGAGGATTTCTTTGGTAAAAAAAAAAAAAACAATAATGATCTGTTACATGACATCTGTCCCTCTTTACAACAGCGAATGTTGGACGATTTCTTCAAGATGAAGAGATTCGAGGTGACGGTGATGTGGTTCTACAGAAGGATGCTAAGGATATCATGGAACGAGCGTGTAAGAGAAGATGGGATCTTAGAGAGGATCTAAACAAAGAGGAGGCTTATACTTAACATCAGGAAGAGGCAGCTGAAGTTTCCGGGACGCAGAATGAAGAAGGGCCTAGACAATATGATACTCACGGGTTGAATTGAGGGAAAGAGAGATGACGCAAAGCAGCGCATGACGTACCTGACGAGCTTGAGCAGGTGGATGACAGAACGTAGTCTGGGGGTGGAAGCTGAGGGGAGGAGGTTGTTGAGAGATGCAAGAAATAGAGGGAGGTAGAAAGCCATGAGCGACTACGTCCTGAAAGGACACGGCACATAAAAAGAAAAAGCAGTTTTGGTGATGGCTGAAACTACATCAAGCGCAACATAGTTCATTTTCCTTTTTTTCTGTAATACATTTGCTATAACCGATCGATTCACCAAGAGACATATATATATATATATATATATATATATATATATATATATAGGCTAGAACATGTAAACAATAGACACGAGTTAACGGTTTTTTGTAGGCATCATCAGATTTTTGGTTTGAATTATTAGCTAAAAACTAGCATACAATATAATAACTTGTTTAATCCATAGCCCACTCATCAGATTCATGGTTTGAATAATTAACTAAAAACATGCATACAATATAACACCCTTCATAATCCATAGCCCAAATAAATAGTTTAAATACCCTAAAAAAGATAACCCTTTATGAAGTCGTCAAAAAACAAACGTTACGACAGTTTTTTTATATGCACAAATCCCTTTCATAAAAAAATAAAATAAAAAAAAAATAAATCTCCATAGACATGCAAACTAGACGAGGGTTAATACATCTTCCGTTTCAAATTTAGACACCCCCACCTTTCCCTGATTTGACATCTACGAAAGTAACTCTATACTGATACTTATTATTAACACCCAACACCCGCATACCCAACTTAAACAATTCGCCCTAGCTGTTACCATGGAAATTTTGATTTCAATTTTTAAAACACGTAAATTTCAGAAATACGTTATTCCAAAAAAAATTTCGCTTGAAGATGGAACAGAGCTTATTTTAACTCAATTTAATTTAAATAATTACATTGAAGTTTTCGGCTCTTGTTTTGAAACATGGGACTTCTTATGTCGCGATTTGGAATCATATTTTTAATTACATAATTATATATATATATATATATATATAACTGTATCTATCTATCTATCTCAGTATTTTTTATCTATCTATCTATCTATCTATCTATCTATCTATCTATCTATCTATCTCAGTCTTTTTTGCAGATTCCGAAATTGCAGATTTTTCTTTTAAATAGTTTATTGACTACTTCGAAGTATTGCAACACAAACCATCCCATTAAAAAATGTATACATTTTCAAAGACTTGAATTTTCTACAATCTTAAAAAAAAAAAGTTTGCAAAACAAAATCTATGTTCAGGAATAAGAATGTAAGCTATGTTTATATTTACACCGAATAATACATCATAAAAGATTCAGGATAGAGATGTAGTAAATACGATATATATATATATATATATATATATATATATATATATATATATATATATATATATGTATATATATATATATATATATATATATAAATAAAAACAAACCACTTTAAGGTCCCATGTAATAAATTATTTCACCACTGCCCTTTTAAAGGGCAGTGGTGAAATAATTTATGAATATGAATATGAATATTTATGAATTATGAATATGAATATTTATGAATATGAATATGAATAATTTATGAATATGTCTTGAAGATGGTTTATTAGACCGAAACGTCCGACGTTGACATATTAACATTAAAACAGCATAATTGTATATAAGGATTTTTGTTTGTTTTTTCCGTATATTTTTCTTCATACTGTCGGATCTATATCCATATATTTGCTTGCATATATATATATATATATATATATATATATATATATATATATAGAGAGAGAGAGAGAGAGAGAGGTAGGTAGGTAGAGAGATAGTTCCAAAAGACCGAAATAGATAGACAGGTATGCTCAGAACAAGATTTATATATATATATAATACAAGATTTTAGCGATCATTTATATAAGTGTCATGCAGAAATTGTCCGGTTCTCGCGGTTATAGCAGTAGTCATCAGCGTCTGTCTTGATCCATACTATTTCAATGTAGTGGATTTCAGTTGATTGGGTAACTGATCCGCAAACACCTGGCTGCAGTTAAATTTATCCATTTAAAATTTGGGAGGAATTCCTTCATGCCTTGAGCAAGCAGATGTGTCGGAACATATCGCTCTGCAGGTTGCACCACAGCTCATGTCAACTGACACGTTACAACTGATTGCAACGAGAGAACACTCACTTGACACCACAATAAACTCCTAAAATCACCACCGTGGCACATTGAGTAAATTAAAATGGAAAACTAATGTAAAAATTCCCAGTCTGCATGTTTATATCCTTACACCTTTATTGGACGCAATATAGTCTTTCAGAGGTGACACATTTTTAACCAATAGGAGGACTCGGAAAAATCACACAGATTTCTTATTTTCATTTTTTGATATGTCATAATACTTAATTTAAGGAGAAAATATGCTCCTTGCGATATTTATCTCCAGAAACCATCGATGGAAATTCCCTTCTTGTCCCGTAAAATATTTGGGTTCGATAACCTTAAAGAAATATTGCAATAAAAATTTTAATTATCAATGCACGCAATACTGTAAAGAAGATGGAGGGTACAAATGAAGCCATTCACAAGTGGCAACATTTTACATTTCACTGTGACAGACGTTAAACGCATGAGAGCCTTATCGCCTCTTCTATATTTGATTTCTTTGTTTGAATTAATGTAAAAAATCTCGCTACAAACACCGGCTCGAGTTCGGACACCAAAGTTAAGCAATGTCCCAACCAGTCATAACTTTGATAGGGGACCGCTTTTAACATCTGGTACTTTAATCAAGTGACTATAATCCAGAACAATTTAAATTTTAAATAAATAACAAAGGGTTAATGATTCGTAAAAGAAAAACAACACAATGTATCAATATTTATTTATTAATTTCTTATTCATACTTACTTTTTTAACCTAAACAGCGTCTCTCATGTATTTTTTCTTCCACCTTTCGTCGCAGTCAAAAAGGAATCTTCCATTATTTATATGAGTTAATCGTACAGCGTAAAGCCCGCTCTGCCTAACTTATTAAATAACCAAGAAACCAGCATAATTATAATATAATATATTTTAGTTATGGAGTTGGTGCATAATTATCAGGCGTTTTAAACAATATTTATTATAAAAAAGGAAACATAACAATTTAACAACATTTTTAAATGATTATTGTGACACATGATGATAGAATATATTTTTATTAAAAAAAATTAAGCAAAACAGCAATTTTTATTAAATTAACACGTCTACAAAAAACGCCTGATAATTATGCACCAACCCAACATATATATATATATATATATATATATATATATATATATATATATATATATATATATATATATATAAAGATACTTGAAAAAGCTTTAAAAAAACTGTATAGGTGGAAGAAAAAACAGCATATAAGAAATAACAGACAGATCGATAACCCGAAGTCTAATCTGCAGAAGGTTAATTCAAAGAAAAGCTATAAACGCTACTTTGGAAGTAGTTAATTGATCATGGAATAAGGTTAGTTGAAAGCGAACAGGGGAGAAACAAGTGGCCTGGCCGGTTTTTCACAAACGGATCTAGTACATAGTATTATTTACATTTCTAGCTGTGGCCATAAATGGCATCACAGAATTCGGAATTTTGCAAAGCAGTCTTTTGCATTTCTCGGAAGCTATTATGGTTCTCTGCGCAAAAGTGCTTGTATGAGTCTCCGGTCAGGCTTTGTGGCTCCTAAAAGCCAGCAATGATCAGTTTATACATGGATAATCAAAGGAATGCTTTCTCACCTTCCTCCCAGAAGACTAAATTTGTTGCCTTTTTTCTTGCCCATTTTCTGTGTACGATTTAATGTATGAGTTTTATTTTTAACCTGGCATACATCTCTAGATATACGCATATATTTCTGTGTATTTAAATATAAGAATATATGTAGTGAGACTGTGAGTAAAAACATTAGGATATATGTGAATTCTCTATATAAAAGTTGTCATGATTTTTGGGTCGGTTCAATGTATAAAACAAATAGACATCATGTGTAACACTTAGATTTCGTATGTATACTTAGTGGATGCCACACCGAGTATTGGAACCATTGCTTTCTAAGCATGAATTAGATCCGGTTTCCAATCTCACGGTAGTCGATTTCCAGCTTGTAGCAATTTTAGGAAGCGAGTTATAACTACATATAACAACTATATATATATATATATATATATATATATATATATATATATATATATATATATATATATATATATATAATATATTTATTTAATGAAAAAACAGACCACTTTAAGGTACTATTACAATAATTTATTTTACCAAAATCCTTTTTAAAGGACTCCGGATCATCAGGTAACAATTCCAACAACGAAATGAAAGGAAAATGGGATTAGAAATAGATGGGTAGTGTAATTTTTGTAATTTAATAGGCGGGGTGAGAGTTTTAGTTAAATAGACAAGGTAGAGTATAGGGAGGGGTTAATTTCATATTTCTCTTAAGCATGTTTTATATTGGGGTAGGAGGAGTGACCGAACCATGACCTATTTAGATGGTTAACTTAACGGAAATGATATATAGGAATGGGAGGGGAGTGGGGAGAGAAGAAAAGGAAAAATGGAAAAGAGAGAGGAGTCGGTTTACAAAGATCTTCGTAACTTATATATATATATATATATATATATATATATATATATATATCAGCCTCAAATATCAATATTCCATAATATTCTAATAAACGAGCACGAAGGGTTTCCCAGTCTTTTAATATCTATCTATCTATCTTTCTCAGTCTGTCCATATCTATCTATCTGTTATCTGTCTTACTTTCAATCTTTCGATTTCTATCTATCTCAATCAGTTTCCTTCTTTCTTTCTTTCTTTTTTCTTTCTTTCTTTCTATCTATCTATCTATCTCAGTCTTAATATAAAAAGGCTCGACATCAATATTCCATAATATTCTTACACTGGAATCGTAATCGCGATCCAATTCATCACTTAAAAATTCAAAAAGAAATCGGAATATATATATATATATATATATATATATATATATATATATATATATATATGGAGAGAGAGAGAGAGAGAGAGAGAGAGAGAGTCTTTTGGATATGAGTTTGTAACCATAGGTTTCACGCTTTCGCGATCATCAAGCAAACTGATTTATTTTTTTTTTAAAAAATGGAGTCTATTTATGTTAGTTTGTGTTTGATTAGATTTGGCGCTGGTGGTAGTGGTGGGGAAAATATCCTATGTCCGATTTGGGTTGACTATAATGTGAAATATAATGCGTACATCTTTATGTTTGTATTGCAAACTCATATCAATACGAATGAATATGTTAGCTCTATCAGTGATATTCCAGTAAGTAGCATGCATATATAATATATATAGAAATTATATATATATATATATATATATATATATGTATACGGATACATATATATACATATAATATATATATATATGTGTACATATATACATGTATATATACATATATATATATATATATATATATATACAATATATATACATATATATATATATATGTGTATATATATATATATATACACACACACATATATATATATATATATATATATATATATATATATATATATATATATATATATCCCATTATATATAATGTTTGTTATATATATATATCATTTTAATGTTTTTCACATTTAAAAAATAAAATATATGTATTTTTCCTCAGTTTCTTCCTTAAATAATTTTATACTTTAAACTTATCAAAGTTTAAATTTAAAATTTAAAATTGGTAATTTTTAATTTTTAGTTCTACAGTAAAATTTAATATTAATCAGTTAGAGTGATTTCTATTTTAGTTTCACCCTAACATTAGAGCATTAATAATTATAAACATAGTTCTTTGTCAAGTTTTTTGAATTCTCATATACTTGTATTTTGATTTGTCATTCCAGCTTATGTTACAGCGTTTCTCCTAGCAAGGGATGTTTGATTGATTTGCACCTTTTAAAACCATTATTCTACATTCAATACCATCACTTGATAAGACACTAGATGTGTTGAAACAAAATGGCTCTTTTGTAGTAATTTTATAACATGTTTATGCCATAATTTTCGAATAAATTATATACATACAGACATACATATATATATATATATTTATATACATTTATACATATATGTACATATGCAAACACACACACATACATATATATATATATATATATATATATATATATATATATATATATATATATATATATATTCCACGGAGAATCGCACTCAGAATTAACTAATCAAGATTCATTAAAATTGAGCAAAACTATGATTCCCCACCCAATCTATTCCTTCGATAAGACGAAACAATGACTGTCTTTCTTTTATTCCTTAGAAATTAATTTCAAAAGTTTGTTTACATTGTACTATCCGTCCAAAACTTGTGTGTTTTTACAAATAATTCTCGACAAAGAACATGTCTATATTTTGTTCATCACCAAGTTTGGGATTTGTTTGTTTTTGATGCGTCCTTCCAAGAAATATATCTAATAATATTCTAAACAAAATGACTTCCATATGGTTAATTAATAATTTCTCCTAAGATTAAACCTGTCGGGATGGAGAAATCAGATTTTTCAATTTGAATTTGAGCGAGGGGTGTAGATAGTCGTCTATATAAACAGAGACGAAGATGGCGTATTGAGCGAACAGTTTGTAGAATTGAAAACCAAGTGTCTTCGTATTCAGAGGCACAAGCATGATTGTCAAGCAAATTTTGACCCATTGTCAATATATATATTCAGTATATTCTAGCATAATCTGGTACAAAGATAGATACATGAGATTCGTGTAAAGAATGGCCCATGAAATATAGCCAGAAGAATCTGGGCGAGTTCACTCTGCCGAAGTAAAATATTAGGAATCAAGGGGACAGCACTGAAAAAATGGTATGTGTGGTTTGCTTCGAATTATTTTCGTTCTATTCTTTTCTTTCATTTGTTGGTATTTATTAGAAACTTTTTTCAGTTCTGTTTGTTGGTCATTTCTAACGATTTCATCAAACTATGGCCAATTACTAAATCGGACTAAATCTGATTATCACTGTCTATATCTGAATATACCAAAGGATTTTCAATTTGATATTCTCCACCATTTTCTTCTTTGTGATTACATGTTCATAATATTTGTCACTACATTCATAGAGATTTTTCCCATTAACTTCCAACCAACAATGGCAGCAACGTTGTCATGCCTTCATTTCTTATACTCATTCTGAGCCATACACATGCATTCTGATATAATATACCTGACAGTCTTTTCACTTTCCACACACATTCTCAATAATGCAGTAATGTTGGCCTTATCAGCATTCACATTTACGAGATATGTCTGTAACATCGGCGACTGATCTGTCATTAATAATCCCCCAGTTTACTTCTTCAACCTTTTTTTTTCTACTGTACAAAGAGAAAAAGAAACATGGTTTATGGCAAAGCCTCCTGTCCGTTTCGCATGATAAATAAATACAAATGGTAAAAAAAGATCGACAACAATAATTATTTATTGCAGGAAATTCTGAAGGTTTGTGAAGTTATAGCAATAAATTAATTATTTAGCAGTATCTACGGTGTATTGGGGTGGTGTATAAAAAAAGTGGGCATAATATTATTGATATTGGATTGTGATTTGTAAATAACGGAATTACAAAAAACTTGTCTTCTCGGAACGTCAAGGACACTACGAAAATTATTGGATACAGCATTTGTCTGAAAATAAAAATGGATCAGCTTATTTTCTTAAGTCATGTGTGGTGACTAGAAAATAAGTTATAACCAACAGCCTACATTATATGATTCAAATAACTACAAAAACAATAACAGCAACAACAAAAACAATAATAATAATAATAATAATAATAATAAAATATTACAAACAGCCAACATTTTATGAGATGAATAATAGTAATAATTATAAATTATTAAAACAGCCAATATTTTACGACGTGAGTAATAATTATAACTCTTATTATATATTAACGATAATAATACATTATTAGCAACAGACGACATGATATTATGTGAATAATAATAATAATAATAATAATAATAATAATAATAAGAAGAAGAAGAAGAAGAAGAAGAATGATTCTCAGAGAAGCATTCTTCCAACAACCATGAGACACTGTGTCACGTAACCCTGACTAATAACAACCTTGAATCACATCAATTAATAAGAAGAAAGGAAACGAAATGGTTTGATAAGAAAAAGTTATGACAGACACATTGAAGGGATCCCTGGTATTTGCCAGTGGATGGGGATGCAGAGCAGAAGAATGAAAGATCAAGTGAATAAAGAAAAAAAAAAACTATTTTATGCTTAATCGAGACACAAAAGGCGGGCGTGTCAACAAGGACAGTATTTTACAACCTTTTCTTCCTTGTGGACCATTTTTGGCAACAAAAACATTTCAGACCCACCTTATCTCTAACAAGAAAATCTCTATGTATAAAATGCAGGATGTGTGTGTGTGTGTGTGTGTGTGTGTGTGTGTGTGTGTGTGTGTGTGTGTGTGCGCGCGTGTGTAACAAATGTGCGGCCGCAATTTTCGACGGATTCGCACCAAAATTTACATGCACATGCTCCAATTTAGAGGAGAGGCCAAGATCGACTTTGCATTTAACAACTCCATCGATAGTGGAAATAATCGATTTTTTCATACTTCTACGGCAGTTTTCATGTAGTTTGCGGCCATTTTCTACTGGCCAGATTGAGAGCCTATAACTGGCTGCCACGAATAGGCAGGAAGGTTCTATTGGCCAGCGTGACAGCCAACAGCTGACTGATACGAATGTTAACTAGCATTCTAGCATGCAAAAAAATCGATAGCTGCATCCGTCACACGTGGGAAAAATTTAAATCTGCATGGCACTTTACTCCAATTGGCTCATTCGCTTGCTTAAACTCAACGTTGATTCTGGTTCCGCAGAAATGGGTTGGGTGTGAAAAAGTATTTGTTGTTAACATTCTTTTTTCATTCGGTTTTGCCAGTTACGAGTCCTTTTTTTTAAAGCTGATCGTTTTGTGTTCATTTTGTTTAGTTCTTTTTTCGTATCAGATTTAATGTTTAATATAGAGCTTAGAAAAAATTCGCAAGAAGTAAGGCATGTAGCAACATCAGCACGGCAAAGGGTACTCCTTTAAAGGCAAGGAAGGGCAAAAATATTTTAAGTCAAGTGATAGCGATTGCTGTATGAGTCGTACGATTTTTGAATCAAGCACGGGCAACGTCAGGCCATGCTGCTTATAATAATAATAATGTGCAAAATTAGTGCCCTAACTCTTCCAAAAATTTTTTAAAAACTTAGTGAAGAGCGTGATTTAAGTAAAGAAACAGGCAGTTCAACAATATCTCAACAATGGTACTTGCGTCATATATTATCACAAAAGACAAATTTCGACGAACATCTTAAAGTGCACATTCTAAAAATATCCCGAGTTCACCGGCCCGATGAGGATAATTGCATAGACAAACTACTAACTTCTCGCCCCAAGCCAAATGAACAGACGGTAGAGATCCATAGTATTTATAAAAACAAAAACTGTTTAATTCCCCTTACAGTGCTGTTCGAGAAAAGTGACTCACCTGATTTTTTTTTACTAAATGTTCGCTTCTCCGATGAAACGAAAGTTGAGCTAAATTTAAAGGATAAGCGATCTAAAAATCTGAAGAAGACATTTAAAAGCTCTTTGAATTTAGCAGTAAGTACTGTTAAGCATCCGTTCAGTATAATGTTCTGGGGATGCTTTTCTTTTCATGGAACTGGTTTCTTAAAACCTATTGAAAAGACCCTCAGGCGCGAGCAGTACAAGAGAATTTTAAAGTCTTGTCTGCTCCCTTCTTCTGAAAGGGTGCAAGTCGACCCCACCAAGCTCAT